GCCTGTGCACCTTGGCGACGAGCTCGCCGCTGCGGGCGTACAACGACCGAGTGGTACCAGCTCGAGCCGTGTAGTACGAGACGAAGGCGGCCTGCTTGATGTTGAGCATGCGCGAGCCGAGCGTCGAGTCGAGTTAGCCGCCGGGCGGTGCGGGAGGGAACGCCGAGACGAGGGCGGCGAACGTCGAGAAGCAGCGCATCTACCCTGTACAAGAACCCTCCTTCGACCTCGCCCCACCTCGCTCCCCATCGCCAACTCCTGTCCCCCTCGCGCGCACCCGCACCGGCCGCTCCCTCCGCATCGTCGAGCCCACCACCACCACCACCACCACCTCGCCCGCCACCGCCACCTCGACCACCACCCCACCACCCCGCGAGGCCCCTCCCCCGGTCTACTACCCGGGCGCCGCTCGCCGCCGCTCGACCAACCCGCCCGACCTCGCCTCGGGACTCGCACCCTCGACCAACACGGCCTCGACCGCCTCGTGCACCGTCCAGTGGGCCTACCACCCGTGTGCCCCCGACGCCCAGGGCGGCAACGGCACCTGGGGCCGCCGCCTCCGCCTCGCCGAGGTCTGGCGCGCCCTCGCCTGCCGCGACGAGCTCCTGTACGACGGCTGGCCCCGCCAGTTTGGCGGCAGGGACCGCGTCCCGTGGGACGTCGCCCGTCGAGACCGCGACGCGGCCGCAACCGGTCCAGCCGTCGACGAGGAGCACGGCGCCCCACGACCCGACCATCGGCGCACGCGTTCACGCGCCCTGTCGCTCTCGCTCTCGCTCTCGCGCCGCACGACGACCGGCGCCGACTCGGGCGTCGCCCTCACGCCCCACTCGACCCACTACGAGGCCGGCACGCACCCGCTCGCGCCCCTGTACAAGAAGCGCGTCGCCGACCTCAACGCCTTGATCCAGGGCGAGCTCGTCACGGCCCGCCTCTGGCTCGCCCTCGTCGAGACGCTCGACTACGTGTGGATCGTCGCCCTCGTCGTCGCCCTCGCACAGGGCAAAGGCGTCCAGACCGGCTTCCTCAAGGGCGTCGAGGTGCGCCCTCGCTCTCTCTCTCTCTCTTTTTGCGTCCCTCCCTTCCTTCCTCCTCGGCGTCATCCTCGCCTCGCCGACTCGCATCTCTCGCCCTCGTCACCTCGCGCCCCTCGATCTCTCTCGAGCCCCGTCCTGACCCGCTCGCGCCCGCCGCCGGACCCCGCAGATCGGCCTCGTCCTCGTCATCCTCCTCAACGGCCTCGCCATCAACGCCGTCCGCATGCGGCGCTACACGCTGGCGCGCGCCCTCAAGACGCGCACGCGCGACTGGAGCCCGCTCGCCCTCACGTCGACCAACGCCGGCCTGATGCGCAACTACCTCGACGGCGACGCCGAGCCCCGCGAGGGCATGGACAGCGTGCCCGTCAAAGACGGGCCCGTCATGCGGTGGCGCATGCGCGAGACCGAGGTGCGCCCCCTTCCTCGCCTCTCTCTCTCTCCCTCGCCCTCGCAGAGCCGCACTGACCCTCGCTCGACGAAACAGGGCGGCTTCTGGCTCGGTTACCGCCCCATCGTCCGCGTCGAGCTCGTCACCCCCTCGTCCTTCTCCAACCCGGCCGCCTACCTCCCCGTCGTCGACCCCGAGCTCGGCGCACCCCCACAGGTCCTCGGCCTCGAGCCCGACGAGCTCGACCTCGAGCCGCCCAACGGCGCGCACGGCTCGCCACGAGCGCCGGTCGCGGCGTCGGCGTCGGCGTTGGCGGCGGCGCCTGTGTCGGGTTTGGCGCCGACGGTGGGCGAGGGAGCAGGAGAGGGAGCGGGAGCGGCGGGCGGAGCAGGAGGGTCGGCGCCGGGCGAGGCGACGAGCGTGCCGGTCGTCGGTGCGGCTGCGGGAGCGGGTCCGGCGCCGGTGGTGGGCGAGCCGCCGCGGTACGAGGACGCGCACTGAGCGCGCCGCGAGGAGAGAGAGAGAGCCGAGGAGGAGGAGGAGGACGAGTCGGGCGCGAGGTCGGCTTTCCTCGAGCGTCTCTGGATCCTGTAGCATACGTTCCTTCCCCTACCTTCCTCTCGCTGTCGTAGCTACCCTGTCATGTCACGAGCCTCACGTCGCACGTCTCCCTGCTGCTAGAGACGAGTGAGAGCCTGCTGCGAGAGCGAGAAAGGCTCGTGCGAGCGGTCTCTCGGGCTTGACGCCTCTGCGTCTCGCGCGACGAGGTTCCCTGAGTGCTCGAGCTCGCTATCGTCAGTCAGGAGAGAGAAGGCGGGAGCTCTCGCAACTGCTCGCGCTGGGAGCGGCGAGAAGGAGGAGAATAGCGCGAGCGGGCGTGCTCCTCTTCACGAGCCCGCGCTCCAGCGCCGCTCTCTCAGCGTCAAGCGAGCCATGCTCCCGAAGCTTGCACAGCTCGAGCGACGCCTCGAGAGCGCTCGAGAGCGGCCTCACCTCGCCGCCGCCGGTCGAGCGTCAGAATAAAGGGGCGGCCTCTGATTGGCTGTTTTGATCTGGACTACCGCGCCGACTACGTTCAAACACCCGTTGGCCGCTCTCGCCGCCGCAAAGCCCTGGATCTAAGCGCGACAGCCTCTGCACGACGTGGGGCATCGTGATGGAGGGCGAGAGAGCGGCGAGCGCTCGAGCGAAGCGACCTGAGGCGGCGCGCACGCTCGACGAGGTTCGGTCGCTCTGTGGGAGGACAAGCTCGCTGGATTTCGCGCTTACTGCCGCAGCCTGACGAGGACAGGTGCGTCGTACGCTGAGAGAGAGACCCTCAGGCCCAAATCGAGGCGAGAAGCGCGGTCTCGCTCGGGCGAGGGACGCGCACTCTTCCTCGTCGGCGACGCTGGGCTCTCGATCTCTCTCGGAGTATTACTCTGCTGCGTGGCTTGCTGCGTCGCTCACAGCCCTGAGGAAAGTACAGGAGAGCTCTCTCAAGAAGGGGGCCGCTCGCACTCTCGGACGGGCGACGAAAGGAGAGATGGAACGCCCTTCGAGGGGCTTGGACCGCATGAAAGACTACCACATTTGACGGCTCGATGAGGCACCCAGGATGACACGAGAGGGAGAAGAGAGAAAGACGGGGGATTAAGCGAGACAAAGGTGGACCGGGGCGAGAGAGGGGGTACAAGAGACAAGGGAGGGGGAGGCTCGACCCGCTTCGCTCAGAGCGTGTAGCGGAACTTGGGGTTGCCCTCGATGACGTACGTGCCCGCGTCGGCCTTGCGGTTCTGGGCACGGAAGTAGAACGAGAGGCCCGTGACGATGGTGATGATGGCGAACTGGCAGCCGACTGTGGAGGACGGGCGAGGTCAGCGACGGCTTCTCTGAGACTGGAGGGGCAGCGGAAGGACGTACTCGTAGCCCACAGGCCAGGAATGTAACGAGGGTAGTCGACCTGGCGGTAGATGAGCGAGCTGCAGGGGAGGAGGCGGCGGTCAGCGACGAGGTCCGAGAAAAGGCCGGGGGAGAGCAGGACGCACGCAAAGATGCCGCCGACGCCGCCCATGCCGATGCAGACGGCCGACGAGAGGGCACGCTTCGAGTGCGACAGGACGTTGGTGGCCTGGTAGGCGAGGACGGCCGGGCTGTGGGTTTAGGAAGGTCAGCGACTGAGGAGACGACGATGGCTCTAGGAGAGGCTCGAGCGCGATGCTCGAGCTCGAGGGTGGGCATACACAGAGAGAAGAGACGTACACGTTGGACTGAGCGCCCGAGATGGTGAGGAACGCGCCGAACTGCGAGGGGAGGTCATAAGACAGGGTCAGTGAGGAGCTCGATGCGGCGGCCCTTTCTCGGGGCCTCTGTGCGCCGAGGGACGAGCGAGAGAGGGACACTCACGTAGCGGATGCCGAGCTTGTCGGCGTAGGCCATGATGAAGAGGCCGGTGAAGCAGACAGTCGAGCTGATGCCGATGAAGAGGGCGCGCTTGCGGAACTTGTCCGAGAGGAAGGCCATCATGGCGGTGAAGAAGCCGGCGAGGACGTAAGGCGGGGCCGAGAGGAGGAGCGAGGTCTTGGTGTCGTAGCCGCCGCCCGACAGGATGACGGGGAGGAAGTCTTTGGGCGCTCGAGAGTCAGTTTGACGGTCCCGCACGGACTCGGGGGGTCGAGAGAGAGGGACGAACAGGAGAAGGCGTAGGCGGGCATCGTCGAGAAGCAGAAGCAGAGACCGAAGCACCAGATCTTGAAGCTGTTGCGAGGAGGACGAGGCTCGTCAGGGACGGGTCGTCGAGGCAGGCCGAGGACGAAGCGGGACGTACTCGAGGGCGTGCGTGATGAGCTTCTTGCCGGTAACCGAGTCGGGAGTAGCGTCGCCACGGTCCTGCTGGATGCGCTCGATGGCCCAGGTCTTCTGCTCCGGGGTGAGGAACTTGGCGCGGTCCGGGAAGTCGACGATGACGAACCACGAGATGACGCCGAGGCCGATCGTGATGACACCGAACAGGAGGAAGATCCAGCTGGGAGCGGGAGGAAGGGACGAGTCAGTTCTCGAAGATGCCGGCGACGAGGTTCGTGCGCGAGGAAGAGGCGACGCACCGCCATCCCTCGAGGCCGTGGACGCCGTTCATCTGCGACATGCCCCAGCCGATGATGTTGGAGAACCCGGAGAGGACCATCGACGACAGGTAGAAGAAGGCCATGCGCTTGGCCATCTCGAAGCGAGTGTACCAGGTCGAGATGAGGCTGCGCGGTCGGACGAACCAGGTCAGCTCGGCGCGCTCAGGCAGAGCAGTCCTGTCCGTCGAGACAATCGGACGTACAAGGTGCAACCAGGGAAGAAGCCGGCCTGCGAGCGCAAGGAGGGCGAGTCAGTCGACTGCGCTCGTCGAGAAGGTTGAATGCGCGGATGTGCGGCTCACCTCGAAGAAGCCGAGAAGGGTGCGGCAGACGGCGAGCTGCTCCCAGTTGGTGATGAACGCCATGCCGAGCATGACGGCGCCCCACGCAATGGTGATGGTGGCGAGCTGGTTGCGCGGCCCGATCTTGCGGATGAGCAAGTTGGCGGGCAGCTCGAAGATGATGTACGGGACAAAGAAGATGCAGGTGATGAGGCTGCACGGGGCGAGGCGCGAGAAGAACGGCTGGGTCAGTCGCGGCGAGGAGGTCAAGGACGAGGAGGAAGGCCACGCACGAGTAACGCTCGCCGACGGTGAGCTTGAGGTCTTTGCCCATGCCGACCGTTCGTGCGATCGAGATGTTGGTGCGGTCTGCGCGCGTCGACGAGGCGGGAAGAGTCAGCGGAATTCCGGGCGGTGGCTGGCCGGCTCGTCGAAGATGCGCTCGAGCCGCTCGCAGGACCGACTCGAGCGTGGGCGCGCCTGGGACCGCGAGGGAAGGCGACAGGGAGGACTCACCGATGAGCGAGATGGCGTAGACGGCCGAGAGCATGGGAATGAGGCGCCAGTCGATGCGGCGGCTGCGAACGTGGTCGGCGGGCGAGGGGCAGGGAGGCGGTCTCGTCAGTGCGGGCTTCTCGCGACGCTCCCTCGAGTGCGTAACGACGCAGAGAGAAACGAGACGCACACAGTAGAGCGCGCAAAGGCCGGGTCGACGTCCTGCGTCTCGCTGTCGAGGTGCGTTGCCTGGCGGGACGCGAGCTCCTTGTGCTCGACGCGGTGCTTCTCCGAGGTCGAGTCGGGGGTCAAACTCATCGTGGCGGTCGTGTGTGTCGGTGTGCGGTGCGAGAGCGAGGTAGAGCGCGAGTGTGAAGGAAGGGAGAGAAGAGCGGACTGCAGGGCCCCGAGCGGAGCGCTTTCCGAAGGAGCCGCGAACCTCCCCCATGCTTCCCCGCAAGCCTGCTTGACAGACGGACCGGGGAGCCACAAATCCCCGGTAGGTGGACGAACGGTGCCTTGAGCCGATCAAGGCTGGGCACGAAGGGCCGCAACCGCCTCGAGCGCACGCGGGGTCAGGCGACCCAGAACCGCGGCAAGCCAGGCCAATGCGGCGCGATTGAGCGTCTTTGCTCCGCCGCACAGCATGCAGGCACGACTCGGCGTACGAGGCCGTCGACCCAGGACGAGGCCCGCGCCCGCCACCGGTTCTGGGAGTGAGCCGGTCGACCTTCTCAAGTGGCCCTTCTCGCCTCATGGAACCCGCGAGCGCGTGCGCCCCACGAGCGAGTGAAGTCAGGGCCAAGGCGGACAATCACCGACATTCGGACAGCAGGGCGGCGTGCGGCCCGAGTCGTGCGTAAAGCGCGCTGCGTCGTCCTCTCCATTATCGGTGAGCGGATCCTCCGGAAGCCGACCAGCATCTGCCCCGCTTTCGGGCGACCGCTCTCCCAGGCGATACACTGCACGCCCGGATGCTGCTGCTCAACAATGCGTTGCCACACGGTGCTACACGACTATGCACAAAGCGCGCCTCTCGTGCCCTTCTCAAGCGCGCGACGCTCAGCCTCGACCGCCCGCACCCCACGCGCGCGCGCCGGCCGACCCATCAAGCTGCTGCCCACGCTCCTATCCCCCGGCTTGCCTTCGACGATCCACTCAAGGCACTGCCCGCCGCCCGCACCGCGCTCGCTCGATCCCGCTCACGCCTCTTGCGCCCGCCTCTCGCCCTCGCTCTCGCCCTCACCGCCGGGGCCTGCCGCCCTTTCCTCCGGCTCGCTCGCCCGCACCGCCGTCACCTCGAGGCCCGAGCCCTGCGCGTTGAGCCCGACGCGCGCCGTGTCGCCGTTGGCGAGCTCGCCTCGAAGGATGGCCTCGGCGAGCGGCTTGCGCACCTCGCGGTTGATGAGGCGGTTGAGCGCGCGCGCGCCGAATGCTGGGTGGTAGCCCTGCGTGGCGAGCCACGAGCGCGCGGCAGGGTCGACGGCGAGGCCGATGCGGCGGTCAGGCGCGGCGGGCGAGTGGTTGAGCGTCTGCTGGACCTCGGACAGGCGCAGGTCGACGATGGACGAGATGGTCGACGGCGACAGCGAGTTGAAGACGATCATCTCGTCGAGGCGATTCAGCTGCAGGGGCACGAGGTGGGTAAGCTTCCGTCTGCGTGCGTGTGCGTCGACGAGGGGGAGGAGGAAGAGCGTGACGCGCCAGCTCGGGCGGGTACATTCCCTGAACGCGGCCGATGACGGCCTCCTTAGCGCGGTCGGTGACGGTGCCGTCCTCGAGGGTCGCGCCGGGCTCGGACAAGATGTCGAAGCCGATGTTGGACGTGAGGATGATGGTCGCTGGGGACGAAAGAGGGGTCAGTCGGTGTCGGACCGAGGAAGGCGGTGAAATCGAGCGACGACTCACTGTTCTTAAAGTCGACGACGCGGCCTTGCGAGTCGGTGAGCTTGCCCTCGTCGAGGAGCTGAAGAAGAATGTTGGCGACGTCTGCAGAGGGAGAGAAAGAGAGCGTCAGGGACGTATCGAGTGAGAGCGAGAGAGAGGGAGATTGACGGACCCTTGTGCGCCTTCTCGACCTCGTCGAAGAGGACGACCGAGTATGGCTTGCGGCGGACGGCCTCGGTGAGCTGGCCGCCCTCCTCGAACCCGACGTAGCTCGGCGGCGCCCCGATCAAGCGCGACACCGTGTGCTTGTCCTGGTACTCGCTCATGTTGATGCTGTCGCGGCGAGACTGCTCGTCAGTTCTGCTCGAGCGAGAGGAGGGAGCGAGAGGAGGAGAGAGAGAGGAGAACGTACGTGATGAGGTTGCGCTCAGTCCCCGTGAGCTCTTGCGACAGCGCCTTGGCGAGCTCGGTCTTGCCTGCGCACGACGATAGAGCGAGTCAGTCGAGTCGTCCTGAACGAGGCAGAGAGACCGCGGGAAGGCTCGAGGCGTGAAGGTGAGGACCAGTCGACGCACCGGTACCCGTCGAGCCGAGGAAGAGGAACGAGGCAATCGGGCGATTGCCCGTGTGGAGCCCGGCGCGAGAAAGGCGAATGGCCGACGCGACCGACTCGATGGCGGGCTCTTGGCCCTTGACACGCTGGCGCAGGACCGACTCGAGGTCGATGAGGCGCGACAGGTCGCCGCGAAGCAGGGTCGTTGTCGGGATGCCCGTCGCCTGCGCGCGCTCGTGACGACGTGAGTAAAGGGTACGGGGAAGTTGGAGAGGAAAGAGGAGGGGTGAGACGCACCTTGGACACGACGCGGGCAATGTCGTCGCTCGTGACCCTCGACCCGCCCTCGTCACTGCCCTCCTCGCCCTCCTTGGGGAGCTTCTTCTCCAACGCCGGCAGCACCGAGTACCTCAACTCGCTCGCGCGCTGGTAGTCGCCGGCCCGCTGCGCCTCGTCGAGCTCCCACCTCCTGCGCTCGAGCTCCTCCCTCGCGCTGCGGATTTCCTCGGCCCGCTCGCGCTCGCCCCGCCACTCGCGCTCCATCTCGTCGACCCGGCTCTGGAGCGTCTTGAGCTCGCCCTCGATCTCGGCGCGGCGCTCGCGCGCGACGGCGTCCGTGTCCTTGCCGAGCGACGAGAGCTCGATCTGGAGCGTCGTCATGGTGCGCTTGAGCGCGTCGAGCTCCTCGGGCGGCGACTCTTTGCGGAGCCGAAGCGACGCGGCGGCCTCGTCGACGAGGTCGATGGCCTTGTCGGGCAGGTGGCGGTCGGCGATGTACCGGGTCGACATGACGGCGGCCGACACGATGGCCGAGTCCGAGATGGTGACGCCGTGGTGGACCTCAAGCTTGGGCTTGAGGCCACGGAGCATGGTGACGGCCGCCTCGACCGACGGCTCGTCGACCCGGAGCGTCTGGAACCGGCGCAAGAGCGCCTTGTCCTTCTCGATCGTGCGGAACTCGTCGAGCGTGGTCGCGCCGGCGATCTGGAGGCCGCGCGCGAGGGCCGGCTTGAGCATGTTGCCGGCGTCGAGCGACCCCTCGGCCTTGCCGAGGTTGAGGATCTGGTGGATCTCGTCGATGAAGGCGATGGTGTTGTCGCTCTCCTCGAGGTCCTTGATCAAGCCGCTCATCTTCTCCTCGAACGAGCCGCGCACGCCGGTCTGCAGTCGGAATAGGTGTCAGTTCGAGTCATAAGGGAAGTGAGGAGAGAGGGGGACGCACGCCGGTCATGAGCGTGGCCAGGTCGATCGACAGGAGGCGGCGGTTCTTGAGCGACTCGGGCACGTCGCCGGCGACAATCTTCTGCGCGAGGCCCTCGACGACGGCCGTCTTTCCGACACCGGCGGCGCCAATCAGGAGCGGGTTGTTCCTGCGGGCGAGAGGGAGGAAGGGGTGAGCGTCTGTGCGGCGTCGTCGCAGAAGGGTCACGCAGGAGGAACGACAGGGACGCACTTGGTCCGCCTCGACAGGATCTCGATCATGCGCCTCGTCTCTTGCTCTCGACCGATGACCGGGTCAAGCTTGCCCTCCTTCGCGAGGGCCGTGAGGTCGACCGAGTTGTCCTCGAGGATCTTGCCGGGCTCGCGCTTGGCGCCGCCGCCAAAGATGTTGCCGATGGGCCCTCCTCCTCCTCCTCCAAAGCCGCCACCGCCGCTGTTGCTGCCCGGAGGCGGAGGAGGGAAGCCACCGCGGCCGGGAGGGAGGCGTGCGGGGGCGGAGGTCGAGAGAGGGCGGCGAGCGACGGCGGCGAGGGTGCTCGTGGAAGGGAGGGCGCGGTGGAGGGACCTCGATGCGGTGGTGGTGCGGATGGTGCGGCTGAGCATGCAGGTGCGGCGACGGGTGGACAGACGACTGTGGGTGGCGGTGCTGATGAAGGAGGAGGAGGGACAGAGGGCGTGGGTGGTCGGTTGCTGGCTGTGGCGGTACTTGAGAGTGTGCCGAGTAGGTTGAGCGTGTTCAAGCGGGTGCTTGTTGCAGTCGTTGTCGAGAGAGAGCGACGAGCCGAGGCGGTTCGAGGACCTTCTCGTCGTCGTCGCTCCCACCTCGACCCAGCCGTGCTTGCTCGATCGATCAGGCGAGCAACTGCACGTGCACCACCGAGTGCGCGCCGCCTCGACCATGCGGCCCGTCGACCTGGCGCCAGACGACGACCCGCCGCCGGTCCTCCTCCTCCCCGCCCTCCCTCGACACTACCACACCGCGCCCTGGCTAGCACCAGACTGGGTCCGACATGGCGAGACTCAGCTACGCGGCTTCCAGCTCTTCGCCGTCGAGCAGAGGTCCGTCACCACCTCTCTCCCCTCCTCATCTCCTCGGACCTGGCCCAGGTGGGGGCGGACCGCGAGCTGACTCTCGCTGTTGCCGCGCCCGCGTGCCAACAGGATGACCGATCGACATGCGCTCATGCCCGTCATCGTCGTCCTCACGGGCGACAAGGCCGACTGCGTGCGTCTCCCTCTCGCCTCCACCTCGAACCCTGTCGCCCTAACCTCCTCGCTCCACCCAGATCACCGTCGAGCGCTTCGAGCTTCGTCGAGCGGCCTCTTTCGACTCGGACGAGCGCGCCATCGTGTGGACCAAGACCAAGGCCGTCCTCAAGCACGCCGGCACCAGGGTCAACCAGGTGAGCCCGACGCCGTGCTGCGTTCAGTCCGGTCGAGGATGCCCTGTTAGAATCGCACTGATACCACTTCACCGCCCTTGTCTCACAGACGCCCCAAGGTCACATCCCGCTCACGGCTCTCCCTTCGCTCCCGCCGTCCCTGTCTCTCGTCCAGCTGCCGCCCATCCCCCTTCCTTTCCGCCCGAGCACCTCGACCGACAGCGACCCGCCTCTCGACGCGGCCGACTACCGCCACCACGAGCCGCTCCTCATCCAGAACATCAATCTGCGCCGCCTCGGCCTCGGCGGCCGCGCAGGGTTCCGCCTCCCGCCGTCGGCCTCGGGCCCGTCGTCGTCGTCCAAGCACGCTCCCGTCGCGTCGGGCGCCACCCCAGCTCAGCAGCTCCACTTCCTCGAGGCGTACCAGTCCCTGTTCCCCCTCCCTCGACCTCTTCCCCCTCCTCGGCACCAACCTCTCTCGCCCTGTCGCTCACCGCTCGCCCACCCGCCCCTCGCGACTTTACGCGCACCGTCCTCGGCCTCGGCCGCACCGTCCAGCACGCCCTTGCCCTGTTCGGCCTCGGGCCCGTCAAGGCCTACCTCGCGAGCAGCGTCGTGCGCGTCGTGCAGGCGCGTCGGCTCGACAGCGCACGAGTCGCACAGGGCGGCGAGCGGGCGCCCTACGGCGACGGCAGCGAGGGCATGCTCGACCGCGACACGATCGAGCGCGCGCTGCTCGAGGCGCTCCTCGACGGGTCCGCCGCAGCCGGTGCGGGCTCTGCAGCGCCGACCGCCGGCTCGAGCACGCGCGTCGTGCCGCCGCCTAGCCCGGGCGTCGAGCTCGTCCTCGAGGACTGGGCCGAGGCGCTCGGGCTCCCCTTGCCGTCCGCATCGACCTCGAGCGCGCCCGACGCACCGGCCCTCGCGGCAGCCGGCCTCGGTGCGGGCCCGACGCTGTTGGAGGGCGACGGCCTCCTGTGCGACACGACCGTCGCGGCCCTGTCCGTGTTTCGGCTCGCGTACGCCGAGCGGTTCGTCGCGAGCGCAGCGGCCGCCGGCGCAGGCGCGAGGGCGGGATCGGGGTCGGGCGAGAGTGCGCGTGCGGGTGTGGGTGCCGGCGCGAGCCGCCTCCTCGACGACGACGGGTCGCTCCTCCCGCCTGCGCTCCTCGCGGCGCTCCTGAGCCTCGTCGTCGCGACGCGGGGCAAGATGGTCGTGCTCGGCGGGATCACGGGCGCGGGAGCCGGCGAGGGCGGGTCGGCGGCGGCGGGTGCGGCGGGAGGGATTGGTTCGCGCGCCGGGACGCTGAGGAGGAAGCATGGAGCCGAGGAGAGGAGGGAGAGAGACGAGGGGAAGGTGCCCAAGGACCCGCTCGCCAAGAGGGAGCGGTTCCTGCGCTGCGTCGAGGCGTTCCAGGTCCGTCCTCGGTTCTCGTTGATCGCTCTCTCTCTCCGTCCCTCGCACGAGTCACTGACAGGACGGCACTATCTACAGCGCTCGCACCCGTCTGCCTTCCAGCACGTCGCCACCTCTTCGAGCTGCCCACCCGTCCTCACCCCGTCCTTCCTCGCCGCCCTCTCGACCCTGTACGCTTCGCGCCACTCCCCCGCGACGTCCCTGCACTCGCACCCGCACGCTCACTCGCACCTGCCGCACCTCCCGACCGCTCGCGTCCGCGGCGCGCTCTCGTCCGCCCTCGGCTCGGTCCTCCACCCCGACCGCGACCGCGACAGCCCGAGCACGGCGCCCTCGGACGCCGACACGCCCTCGCACTCGGAGCACGAGCGCAACCCGCATCGGCGCTCGCACCAGCAGCAGCAGCAGCGTCGGCGCAGCACGCTGCCGCACCCGCTCACGGCGCTGCACCTCCCGTTCGGCTCGCGCACGCGCGGCGGGAGGGGCGAGCATGCCGAGACGCTCGACCTCGAGGGCTTCGTGCGGGCGTACGTTCTCGGCGACGACGAGGGCGAGGCGGACGATGGCGGTGGGCGAGGCGCGAGGGCAAGGGTCCGGCGACGCCGACGGAGGGCGAGGGGAGCGGGACGGGCTGGTGCGAGCGTGCGAGGGCTGTGGGACCCCGAGGAGGAGGACGATCGACCGAGGGATGAGGTGGTTGGCGGCGTGGGCGAGGGCGAGCGGTCGAAGGAGGTGCGGCGCGACGAGGGCGAGGCGGCCACGGACGCCGAGAGCGTCTACACGGCACGCACGGGCGCGACCGTCCAGCAGCAGCAGTATCAAGCAGCTCCTGCATCGGCTCCACACGCGCCCTCATCGTCCTCGCCGCCAGCACATGGCTCGACGCCGGCGTCGTCCTCGAGCGTCTCGACCGGGCCGGTCAAGTTCGGCCGAGGCGTCCTGCGCGGCGTCAAGGAGGTCGCCGGTCGCGCAGGGCGCAAGCTCGGCGACGAACTCGGGCTCGGGTCGGCTGAGGCGGCGGGCGAGGGCAGCGACGGGAGGAGGACGGCGTTGCGGGACGAGGCGGACGAGAAGGAGCGCGAGGGGCTCGGACCGCCACTTGTCGTCGTCTCGTGCGTCCCTTCTTCCCTCTCAGTCTTGAGTCGTCTCGCACACGTTACTGTCCCGAGCTCATCTCGTATTGGCACCCTGCAGGGCCTCGTCTCGGTCCCCCTCGCCCAACTCGAGCGTCCACCCGTCCCTCGCCTTTTCCGCTCCACTCGACCCTTCCGCATCCGCTTCTCGCGCCGCCACCCTCTCCTCGCGACTATCTGCCGCCCTCTCGCTCCCATCCTCGGCCGCACCCTCGCCCTCGCACAGCCGCACCCAGTCCCCTCGCGGCTCGACCACCTCGGCAGCGACGCACCGCGCTCTCCCCTCGCTCCAGACCGACGTCGCGCCATCGTCAGTGAGCGCGCATGCGTCGCCCGTCAGTGCCGGAGGCACGAGCAGCCCCGGCGGCGCCGCCAAGGGCCGCAGCCAGCTCAGCCTCGGCTTGTCGGTCCCGGGCGACCGCCGCTCGGCGCGAGGCGGTGCGCCGCCGATGCGGCGCGCCGTGAGCGAGACGCACCCTCGCAAGGCGTCGCTCCTGCTCGGCGGCGAGGGCGAGGGCGTGGACGAGCGGGCCGAGCCGGATGAGGGCCGGGGCGCGCTCGAGGAGAGCTTGCTCTTCGGCGCCGAGGAGGGCGGCAGCGCGACGGACGACGAGGGCCCTGAGGGCTTCACACCTCTCGCTCGTGCTCGAGGCGACGACTCGGCGACCGAGGACGACGGCGACGGCGACGAGGGCGTGTACCGCCGCCCGTCCGGGCTCGTCGTCGCCCCGAGGGTCCTCACGCGGCGGCACTCGATCAACCTGGTCGACGACGCGCCCGAGCCGGTCGTGTGGCTGTCGAGGAGGACGCTCGAGGTCGACATGAATCTGCGCGCGACGGCCTGGGCGTTCAAGGTCAAGCAGAAGAAGCTCGAGGACATGGTCGCCGCGATGGAGGTGCGCCCTCGCTCACTGTCGCCTCGTTCCTCAGACGTCGCACTGACTCTCGTTCCCTTCCTCGTCATGCAGGCGATCCAGCGCGCGTACGACCAGGCGCTCTCGTCGCTCGCGGGCCCGCTCGCGCACAAGACGGCTCAACTCGACGCCCTCACGGCGACGGCGGCGCAGCTCACGACGCGGCTCGAGGCGTACAGCGCGTCGTCGTCGCCGCTGTCGCTCCTGTCGACCGGCACGTCGCGGCTCCAGTACGCGCAGGCTGTCCTCGACGACAAGCTGCGCGACGTGGTCGACTTTGACCGGGCGCTCGACGACAAGGTGCGCGCCGGCGACGGCACGCTCGAGGTGGCCGTCCGCGAGCTCGAGCGCGACATGGGCGTCATGAGGAAGGTGCTGGGCGTGCTCGAGAGCGGGAGCGCGTGGGCGTGGAGCAAGGTCGGCAGGACGTCGACGCCGCCTGCAGCAGTCGGAGAATAGACCTCTCTGTTTAGCGTTGTTGTGCAATACTATGCATCTCATTCCTGCTCTCGAGGTGGCCGCAGAAGCGAGGTGGGAAATTGCGAGACGCTCTCTCTGCTCGAGGGTCGAGGAGGAGAGCGACCGGACCCTGGTCGTCGTCTCGCTCGCCCCAGTCCCTCGCCAGTGAGTCCCGAGTGCACCAGTGCAGCGCACACGCTCTCTATGGACTCTGTCGCACCCTTACCGAGCCGTCACTGACCCTGCGTACCCTTCCTCATCGCCTCGCCGTCCTCCTCCGCCCACCCACCTCGTCGCCTCGCCTCGGTCCTCTCGCGCGCGCCCAGTGTCTGCGCGTCTCGCTTCCCTCGTTCCGCCCAAGATCGCCTCGGCCTCGGCCATTGGCGCTCCGGCCACGGCTGCCCGCAACGCCAACATCGTCTCGTTCTACTCGGCGGTGAGCCTGCCCTCATCTCTCCCCTCGCCTCGCCGCCGAGCGGGAGCGCTGACTGTCTTGCTCCCCTCCCACACCCTTCCTTATGCCTGCGCACCCCTCCTCGTTGGCCCCGCCAGCTCCCCAAGGGCGCCGCCGCCAAGAAGCCTGTCGGCCTGTCGCCGTTCAGCCGCTACAAGGCGCGCTACTTCGACGGCGAGAACGCCTCGGGCGCTCCGTTCCTCCACGCCATCGGCGTCCTCTTCCTCGTCGGCTACACCATCGACTGTGCGTCCCCCTTCCCTCCCTCTTTCTTTCCACACCCCGAACTGACCTCCCTTCGCTCGCCAGACAACATGCACCTCAAGCACCACAAGAAGTGAGTCGTGACTGTCCTGCGACCTCCCAGGGAGATGCGCAGGAGGCGCACTCGCCCGCAAGCTGGCGAAAGAGGTGTCGCTGACCCACTCTTCGCCTCGTCCTCCCTCTCTCCTACCCTCGTCGTCCCGGCTTTTACAGCAACCACCACGTGCGTCCCCTGCTCTCTCCTTCTCTGGGTGTCTCTCTGTTTCGAACCCTACTGACCCGCCCTCGTCCCTCGTCCCGTTCCCACTTCCTCCCCTTTCCTCCCCGACTCGCCGTCGTCTCCCTCGCAGTAAACGGTTGCTCTCGAGTGTTGGGAGGGAGTGTATCGAGACTAGACGCAGAAGGGACCGAGGCGCTCGGTCGCTGGCAGTAGTCGGCGGGGCTCTTGGCTCGGCTGCGGTGGAAACGAGGAGGTTGTCGTCCGCACAGCCGCGTTCGGGCCCGTCTCGCCTTGCGAGCTGCATGGTCGACCTGGAGAGAGAGAGAGTGCCGCAAGAGAGCGACGCTGCTTGTGCGCTCGAGCGAGTCGACGACGTCTCCCCACTCGCCCATCGTCCTCATCGAGCCGGCTCGTTTCTCTCGCCCATCACGCTCGAGGATGGAGGGAGAGCTCGACCAGGTGGTCCAGGTGCGTCCACTATGCTGTCCCGCCGGCTCGACACTCCCTCGGCCCCGACCTGACCCTCGCCCTCCGACGACAGGCGGTGCTGCAACTCTACTCGCCCTCGACCCCGCCGCACGTCCAGACGGCCCTCCAGCAGCAGCTCCAGCACGTCCAAGGCGCACCCGCAGCCTGGTCCATCGTCGGCCCGCTCCTGTCGCACCCGGACCCGAGCGTTCGCTTCTTCGCCGCGTCAACCCTCGAGCACAAGCTCTCGCGCCAGTGGGACTCGCTGCCAGGACTCGACGCCGCCCTCCAAGACGATGGACTCGCGGGCGACCTCGCGGCGCTCAAGGACTCGCTCCTCCAGTGGCTCGCGCACAGCGCCGCCGCCGCCTACCCGTCCTCACGACCCGGCGCGCCAGCACCCGCGCCCGGCGAGCGCCCCGTCGTGCGCAAGCTCGCCGCCGCAGCCACCGCGCTGAGCCTGCGCGTCGAGTCGAGGTGGCGCGACTGGCTCCTCGAGGTCGTCATGCGCGTCGCCGGCGGCGGAGCGGGCAGGGAGGCGAGCCTCGAGGTGCTCAGCACGGCCATCGAGCAGGTCGCGAGGGCAGAACTTGTCGGCAGCAAGAGGTGCGTCTCGCTGTCGTCTCTCGCCAGCCGCGAGACAGGCCCACTCACCCAGTCCTGCGCCCGCAGAATGTCGTACATGTCGTCGCTCTCGTCCACCATCCCTCACCTCGTCTCGACCCTGTCGTCGTCCCTCACCTCGTCGTCGCCGTCCGAGATCACGTCGGCACTCGCCTGCTTCGTGTCGTACCTCAACGCCGGCCAGCTCTCGCACACCGAGCTCACGACCCTGTACCCGCTCCTCCTCCCGCACCTGTCCAACACGTCGACCGTCATCGCGGCGTGTACCGCCGTCGAGGAGCTCGTCGAGCGTTCTGCGGGCCTGTCGCAGAACATCTCGGGCAGCAGCAGCGCAACCCGCTTCGTCAATCGGCAGCGCACGAGCGAGCTCGTGACGGGCTGGGCGACTGGGCCGTTCGTCGCGTCCATCCTGTCGAGCGCCGTCCAGGACGCCCGAGACGGGTCAGAGCCCGACGACGAGACGCTCGCCGTCTTCAAGCTCGTCGCGACACTCGCCGACCACCTCATCTCGACCTTGCTCTTCGACCCTCCCCCATCTTCCTCTTCTTCCGCCGCCGGCCTCGACCCCTCGTACATCCTCACCCTACGGCATTCCGCCGTGCACGCCCTCCTCTCGGTCCTCCTCGAGATGAGCGCCTTCCCGGGCCACAGCGCCGAGTCGTACGCCGTCAACGAGCTCGCGCAGGGCGCGTGGCTCAACCTGCAGGAGCTCGGCGCCGACGAGGGGTTCGTCGCCGGGCCGGGCGACGGGCGAGAGGGCCGCACGGGCAAGGAGGACGAGTGGAGCGTGTACCGGGGCGTGTGGGAGGCGCTTGCGGGCAAGGTGAGGGAGCGGGCGACGAGGCCGGCCGAGGACGAGGTGCGAGGGTGGCCCAAGGGTGCGTCCTCTTATCCTCTTTCTCTCGCCCTGACTCGACGATATCTTCGACGACTGACTTGTCCATCGTCCTTCTTGCAGACGTGCGGGACGCGTTCCGGGTGTACCGCTCGACGACCCTGAGCGACACGGCGCAGTGGGCCTTCTTCGTCCTGCGCGACTCGATGATCGGCAATCTCGTCCAGCTCGCCGCCGAGCAGGTGTCGCACCCGCCAGGTCCAGGCGCCGACAGCTGCGAGGAGCTCGAGGCGACCCTGTTCGTCCTGTACTCGCTCGGCGAGGTGGTCCCGCTCTCGCCCTCTCTCGCCGAGCTCGACCCGTCGGCGCCACCCACGCCGCTCAACACGTACCTTTCGACCCTGTTCGGCCCCTCGATCCTCGGCCGCCTCCCGTCCGCGCAGCACTCGTTCCCTTCCCTGCGCTCGACCGCCCTCCGCCTCGTCGGCGCCTACGCGCCCTGGTTCTCGGCCCACGCCGACGCGTGCCTGCAAGCCGTCTCCTTCGTCGTCGCCGGCCTGCAAGAGCCCGAGCTCGTGCCCGGCGCCGCCCGTGCGCTCCGAGGCCTGTGCGACGCCAACCGCAAGGTCCTCGTCGGGCACGTCGCGAGCTTCGTCCAGGTCCTCGGCGGGCTCGAGGGCAAGATCGACGACGCCGAGCTCGTCAAGGTGCTCGAGAGTGTCGCGAGCGTCGTGCAGGCCCTGCCCGAGAACGAGGTCGTCGAGCCACTATTGGTGCGTCCTCCTCAGCCTTTTTTCCTCTCGCCCGTCGCCGCCCTGACAGCTCTCGTCTGCTGCAGATACTCGCCAACCCGACCATCGCCAAACTTGCGTCCTCGGTGCAGGGCCTCGCCCAGGTCCGTCGCGCTCTCCCTCCCTCGACTCGGCCGATCTCTCAGAAGCGCGCACTGACCCTTTCTCGCCATGAACAGGGCCAGCCGGACGACGCTCGCGACCTCGCCTTGCAGCAGCTGTCGTACCTGACGGCGCTCTCGCGCGGCCTGTCGGACCCGGAGGACGACCTCGTCGACCTGGACGCGAGCCTCGACGACTCGCAGCTCGTGCGCGACTCGGCGACGCGCCTCCTGTCGGACGCTCGCGTCGGCGACATGCGGGCACGCCTCGCGCTCGCCGTCGAGGGCACCGCGCGCGCCTGGGCCGCCGACATGGAGGTCGTCGGTGCCCTGTCCGAGTACATTCGCGCGTCGACGAGCGACGCCGTGCCGTCGCCGCTCGCGCTCGACTCGCTCGCGCTCCTCGGCCTCGCGAGCAGTGCGCTCCAACTTGCGCCCAACTCGGTGTGGCTCGCGATCGAGGGGCAGCTCCTCGCGAGGTTGGCGAGGAGCAGGACCGACGCCGAGATGCGCGAGGACGAGCTCGTCGAGGTGGCGAGGCCGGTCGAGGTGGCGCTCAATGTCGTCTTGAGTACGCATGGCGACCTTTCGGGTGCGTCCCATCTCCCTCTCCCCCTCTTGCCCCGTCGTCGACGTTCCCCAAGTGTTCGGCCCTCAGTGGCTCGAGTCGTCGCCTCGCGAACCCGTCCCTGACCTCGATCACTCACAGCGATGGGCGAGAACCCGGACGTCGTTGCCGCATTCCTCGGGCTGTGCTGCCAGGTGCGCTCGCCTCGTTCCCCCGCGGCTCCTGAGGCGGGTCGAGCTCACGGACCCTCTTTCTCGCAGATTGTCCGCCTGTACCCGCGCATCTTTAGCGCGCTCCCGGCTCATTACCTCGATGCGGTCCTGTCGTTCGCCGAGCGAGGTTTGGCGATGCAGGAGCAGTTCTCGCTCAAGACGACGATGGAGCTCCTCGTGCGTCCACCGGCCCTCTTGCCCTCGCCGCCCTCGTGCGCCAAATTGACGTCGACCGCCCTCTGCAGCTCCTGAGCGTACAGCAGACCCGCATGGCGTCATCGTCGGCCACCCTCTTCTCGACGACGCTCGCGCCTCGAGTCCCGACCCTCGTCCGGGCCGTCCTCCTCGCGATTGCCGGCGGCGCACCGCGGTCGCACCTGACCCAGCTCAGCGAGCTCCTCCACGCGTGCCTGCTGCGACTCGCCGAGGGCGCGAGACCGGCGGTCAAGGAGCTGTTGGCGCAGCCTGGGTGGCCGAACGAGCGCGCAAGTGAGGAGGTCAAGGGCAAGTTTGGCCGTGCGGTGCTCAGGTGCGTCCTCGCCCTCTCTCTCTCTCTCTCCTTCTCCGAGTTCTTTCGAGCAAGGCCAGGACCTGACAGTCACGGTCGGGCTCGTGCGCAGCGCTCGGACGGGCAAGCAGGTGCGCCAGGCGGTGCAGGACTTTGCGCTCGTCTGTCGAGGGCTCGACGGGAGCGCGTACGGCGCGGCGACGAGTGCGTAGCGGACCACTGCAACTCGGCGAGCGTCCAGAGCTTCAGCGGGCGAGCGAGGTCGGCTTGAGCGAGAGCGCAGTGCAGCGAGGAGGCCGGGGAACGGCCGTCGTCGACCGCCGGTGTCGGGACAGAAACAGAGGGCATGTGAGAGCGTGAGAGCACAGTACGAGCAGTCGGGTTTCCGCCAGAGGGCCAGAGCAGCGTCGTGCGCCGAGAGTCGCGTCGGCCCTCGTCCAACTCGGCTGGCTCGCTCCTCCTCTACTCCTCACACCACCCGAGTGAGCTCCAGCCGGCCCGATCTTCTAGCCACTGGTACTTCACACGCTCTCCCACTCGCACCGCGCTCCCCCACGCCCTCTGTCGACCGCGAGCTGACCCGAACCTCTTCATCTCTCCAGCGTCATCTCGCCTGTCGCTCTCGCCCGCCGTCCACTCGGCCATCCACTCGACCTAACACACGCCCCGAACTCGCTCTTGCCTCAACCATGGCTCATCCAGCGGTGCGTCCCTCCTCTCCCTCCCCGACTTCCGAGGCCGCGCCCGGTCCCTCAACCTTGGACCGGCACCGGTGCCTGCGCACACGTCGAGCTGACACGCACGGTCGACAGCTCGCCCCGCAGCTCGCGCCGCAGCTCGCCGCGCAGGCCGCCGCGCAGGCCGCGCAGGCCACGCAGCAAGTCGCCGAGCTCGAGGACGGGCTCGAAGCCCTCGTCGTCGACGAGCAGCCGAACGAGGCGGCCGTCCTCGCGCGCGAGGGGCCGGTCCAGGAGGCGGCCGAGGTCGAGCCGGCCGAGGAGGCGCTCGGTGTCGCGAATGAGGCGGCGGCGGCGGTGGCGGTCCGCGAGGCGGCGGTCGCGTTGCGCGAGGAGGCGGTCGCGCGGCGCGAGGAGGCCTTGGCGGCGGGTGTGAAGGACCTGGAGACGCATCTGAAGGGACAGGCGGCGGAGCTGAGGGACATCGCGGCGGCTCTGGGGGACATGGCGGGGCGCAAGAGGGCGACGAGGGCGCGCGAGGGCATGCCCTGAGCGGCCTCCTCTCGGTTCCTCTCTGCTTGACTCTCCTCGATGTACATTCGTTCCCTCTTTGTCGTTCATACACTACCTTGCAAGTCCTTGTCTGCCTCACGTGCGCACCGACAGCGCGAGCAAGGAGAGCTCGATGAGCCGGAAACGAGGGTCCGAGCGAGAGAGCGAGAGGCTTTGCTGCGGCGAGAGCGGGCGCAACGTTGCGTCGAGTCTTTTCCGGCACCGCTTTACCTCGACACGATCTCGTCGCCTTGTCGCTGCGCTCGACCTGAGGGTGCTCGGCGAGGCCACCGCGAGGAGACTCGGCGACGAGGAGAAGGTGCGGGTCGTCCGGACCTTCTCAAGCTGCGGCCGCCGCTTGCTGGCTCGTTCTCGTCCCTCTCGTGCGGGTTGCGGTCCGCGGCGAAATCGAACTGCTCTCACAGACCTCGGCCGTTGACGCACGAGGCCGGCACGAGCCGAGTCGCGAGCCGGCAGCCTTCGCCCGACAAGCTCTCCCCGACTTTGCTTCGAGCACCGAGCGCGCTCACTCTTTGCGCTTCTCCTTGACTCGACGATGGACCTCCTGTGTGGACGAGCAGGGTACCCGACGACACGAGAATTCGTGAGCCCTCGCTCGCTCGCATTTTCGAGGACGCTCGGCCGCTCGGGCCTCGTCCTTTGCTCGTGCGCGCTCGGCGCCCTCTCGCGCTCGAGGAAGCTCGTTCTTGCTCTCTCGCTCTCTGCAACTCTCGACGTCCACACCCTCTGTGCGTCCCGAGACGTAGCTCGACGCTGAGAGCGCTCGACGCTCGACACTTTGCCGCTCGCTCGCTCTCGCTCTCGGCTCGACGGCGCGACGACGCGAGGTGCTGCAAGGAAAGCTGTGTACAGAGTTGCAAGCGTAGGGGAACTACTAGGGTGGAGAATGAACGAATCAGTCGACCTCCTCGACCGAGGGCTCGTCGGCGCCCGCACCCGGAGCCGCACCGCCGGCACCAGGGAAGCCACCCGGGCCACCCGCACCGCCCGGAGCGCCACCAGCCGCACCGTACGCCTTCATCATGATGGCTGTGGACGAGGGAGAGGGGCAGAGTCAGGCACGGCTTCGAGGGTAAAAAAGGGAAAGAGGGACGACGACGACGAGGGGAGGAAAGGGGACGCACGGTTGGCAACACCCTCGAGCTCCTTCTGCTTCTCCTCGTACTCCTCCTTCGAGGCCTCGGACGAGGCGTCGAGCCACGAGATGGTCTCGGTGATGGCCTTGTCGAGCGACTCCTTGTCGTCCGCCTCGAGCTTGTCCTTGAGGTCGCCCTCGATCGAGTTGCGGAGCGAGTAGGCTGCGAGACGGGCAGACAGACGCACGAGTCAGTACGAGGCTCGACACGAGGCGAGAGTGAGAGAGAGAGTGAGAGTGAGGCGCACCGTAGGTCTCGAGTCCGTTCTTGGCCGTGATGCGCGACGCCGCCGCCTCGTCCTCGGCCTTGTACTTCTCGGCCTCGTTGACCATGCGCTCAATCTCCTCCTTCGACAGGCGACCCTTGTCGTTGGTGATCTGCAGGACGAGCAAAAGGTCAGGATCGGCTGCGCCTGCGACGACGACGAGAGGGAGAAGGGACGCACCGTGATCTTGTTGCTCTTGCCCGTCGTCTTGTCCGACGCCGAGACGTTGAGGATACCGTTGGCGTCGATGTCGAACGTGACCTCGATCTGCGGCACGCCGCGAGGCGCAGGCGGGATGCCCGACAGCTCGAACTTGCCGAGGAGGTTGTTGTCCTTGGTGCGCGCGCGCTCGCCCTCGAAGACCTGGATGAGGACGCCCGGCTGGTTGTCGGCGTAGGTCGAGAACGTCTCGGACTTCTTGGTCGGGACGGTCGTGTTGCGCGGGATGAGCTTGGTCATGACGCCGCCGGCGGTCTCGATACCGGTCGAGAGGGGAGCGACGTCGAGGAGGAGGAGGTCCTGCGTCTTCTCCGACGTGTCGCCCGTGAGGATGGCGGCCTGAACGGCGGCGCCGTACGCGACGGCCTCGTCCGGGTTGATCGACTTGTTGGGCTCCTTGCCGCCGAAGAAGTCCGACACGAGCTTCTGGACACGCGGGATGCGGGTCGAGCCGCCGACGAGGACGATCTCGTGGACCGACTGCTTGTCGATCTTCGAGTCGCGGAGGACCTTCTCGACCGGCTCCATGGTGCCGCGGAACAGGTCCTGGCACAGCTCCTCGAAGCGGGCGCGCGTGATGGACGTGTAGAAGTCGATGCCCTCGAAGAGCGAGTCGATCTCGATGGTGGTCTGGGCGGCCGACGACAGGGTGCGCTTGGCGCGCTCGCACGCGGTGCGGAGGCGACGGAGAGCGCGGGCGTTGGACGACAGGTCCTTCTTGTTCTTGCGCTTGAACTCGCCGACAAAGTGGGTGACGAGGCTGCACGAGGAAAGGGGGGAACGGGGTCAGGTCATGCTCGTCCTGGCGACAAACGAGAAGGAGAGAGAGAGAGACGCACCGGTTGTCAAAGTCCTCGCCGCCAAGGTGCGTGTCGCCGGCGGTCGCCTTGACCTCGAAGATGCCCTCCTCGATGGTGAGGAGCGAGACGTCGAACGTGCCGCCGCCGAGGTCGAAGATGAGGACGTTCTTCTCGCCCTCGGACTTCTTGTCGAGGCCGTAGGCGATGGCGGCCGCGGTCGGCTCGTTGATGATGCGGAGAACGTTGAGGCCCGAGATGGTGCCGGCGTCCTTGGTCGCCTGGCGCTGCGAGTCGTTGAAGTAGGCCGGGACGGTGACGACGGCGTCCTTGACCGTGCCGCCGAGGTAGGCCTCGGCCGTCTCCTTCATCTTGAGCAAGATCATCGACGACACCTCCTCGGGCGTGAACTCCTTGGTCTCGCCCTTGTACTCGACCTGGATGATGGGCTTGGTCGCCTTGTCGACAATCTTGAACGGCCAGTGCTTCATGTCGCTCTGGACCTCCTGGTCGGCGAACTTGCGGCCGATGAGGCGCTTGGCGTCGAACACCGTGTTGTGCGGGTTCATCGCGACCTGATTCTTGGCGGCATCGCCGATCAGGCGCTCGGTGTCGGTGAAGCCGACGTACGACGGGGTGGTGCGGTTGCCCTGGTCCTGTGGGCGGGGGAAGGAGGAAACGAGGCAAAGACGTCAGCGGAAGGTCGTGGAGCGCGGGGGAGAGGGGTAGGATTTCGAGCGGGAGGAGGGACGCACGTTGGCGATGATCTCGACGCGGTCGTTCTGCCAGACGCCGACGCACGAGTAGGTGGTGCCGAGGTCGATACTGCACGAGGGGTGTGGCGAGCGAGGTCAGCTTCGTGGTCGGCGGCTCGGGCGAGAGGAGGGGCAGGCGAGCGAGAGGAGCTCACCCGATGGCCTTGGACATGATTGCGGCTTTTGTGGTGGTGGTAGGGGTGGTGTGCTGAGAAAGGTGTGCTGGTAGGAGACTCTTGAGCGAGAAACCGAGTGATGAGGAGGAAGGAGAAGAGGAGCGGAGCCGGCGGGACTTCGGCGATTCGAGCGACTCGGGCGCGCGCCGCCCTTTTCTCGCGCGCGCGAGGCGGTGCGAGCGGGTCGGCGTTTGTTCGAGAGCCTTCCGCCGCCGTTGCTCGTTTCCCTCGCCTTCTTCCAGCCGCCAAAGTGCTGCAGAACCTCGTCCAGCGAGCACTCGCGCCCGACTTTGACCTCGCCTCGACCGCGCGAGGGCCCGTGCGTCGTTGCTGGCTCGCTCTCGCTCATTCCTCGACGTTCCCCCGCCTTCTACTGCGTCGCTCGTTCGCCTTCCATCGCTCTCTGGCGCTCGCGAGGAGCGGTCCTGCAGCCCAGCGACTCGCCGTCCAAGTTTGACATCCTCGCCGCGCCGGCGCGCTCTGGCTTTGCGCGGCGGCGCCGCTCTCGGGCCGCCTCCTCGCTTTCACGCTCTTCCTCCTTTGGCACGTCCGCTGCGTCCGCTGCAGCGGTAGAAGCTCGTGGACCTGCTCAGAAGGCTCTTCGCCGCTTCTCGCTACCTTGCCAGGCTCGCTCGGCGGACAACAACTCGCCGCAGCTGCCGCAGAGACGCTTCCTCCCTGTTCCTTTGAGCGCTCGCCAGGCTGGCGTATCTGTCGGCGTGCCTTGGGGATTCCTCCAGCTACCTGCAAGACACTGTTTTTCGACGAGCGAGGTTCCGCCGAGCTGCGTGCGGGTCCGTCCGCGTCACCACGTCGAGCTGCTCGCGCCGTCGACTTGCGAAGGTGCGGCGTCTCTCGTACTGGGCGAGCGCTTTGCGCCTGCGGGTCTCGTCTGCCGCGCTCTCTTCGGAAAGAGTGACCCTGCCTGGGTTTGGAGACGGCAGAGTGACCTGAACGTCAAAGAAAGCACGGCTAGACGACCTCGTCGACCCGCAAAGGCGAGCGTACAGCTTCACCTCTGCTCGCCCGACTCGGATGCGTGCTCGTTATGCAAAGAGAACGGCGCTCTCATCCTTCTGTAGGAAACTGCGGCCCAGGGAAGGTCGGCTGTCACTGGAACCGCCTGCGACGCGCCTGCGTTCGAGCCTCTTCTTCGGTCCAACACCTGCCCTCGCTCTCTGGAGCGCAGCTCGAGAGCTGCATGCCTATCTTCACTCGCTTGTTCACACGAGGAATCAACTCGAGCCAGACGAGTGTCACTCCGCCGCTCGCGCTCGCGAGAGCGCACTGCTGCGTCGACAGCTTCCTGCAGTCACTAATTTTTGTTGGCGTTCCAGCTCACTCGTCTAGGCTCAGTACAGCTTTACAGAAAGGAAGTCAGCACAGAGAAGCTGGAGCAGAATTATCGAGCTGTCGTCGTCGTCGTCGTCGACTCGCGGCGGAGCGACTGGTCGCCCACCTCTGCACTCGTCACCGGCCACGATGAGGCCGTGGCTGCAGCTTGTGCCACTGCTGGCACTGCTCCCGAGCAGCACCGCGCAGCTCGAGCCGCCCGACACGACCGCGTTCGCCTCGTCGCTCGACTCTGCCAACTCGTCGCTCCTCTGGGGCACCTACCGCCCGGGCCTGTACTTTGGCCTGCGCCCTCGACTGCCCAGCACCCTCATGACCGGCCTCATGTGGTTCGGCGTTGGCGACTACCAGTCCTACTCCAGTTGCGCTCCCTCTCTCTCTCCTCGTCCCCGGCCCCACCTCGTTTCGCTGACCTCGACAACTCGCCCTTGCAGAACCTCGACACGAATGCGACCAACGAGACGGGCTCACGTACAGCTTCGCCGAGCACGACGGGCGCAGCGCGGCCAAGCAGGTCCTCAACGACAAGGAGAACAACGTCCGGCTCACGGTGCGGTGGATCAAGGTCGCAGGCGGGGCAGAAGGTGCGCACGCAATCTTCCTCCTCGTCCAGAAGACCCCTGTACTGACCCTGAACTTCCTACAGGCGGCAGCTGGGCCATGCGCATCGAGGGCGAGCCGATCGAGGACGGTGAGTATCTGCCCCGTCGTCCTCGTCGTCTCACTCTCGCCCGACCTGACGTCCCTCCTCCTCGCAGACAAGCTCTCGCGCATCTCGCTCATCAACTACTTCGGCAACGACGGCCTACTGAGCTACCTCGAGCTCGGGAACAAGCTGGACAAGTCGGTGCGTCCTCTCGCCGGCTCGTCACCTCTTCCTGCGCCGTACTGACGTCGATCCCATCCCGTGACAGGGTCTCGAGAGCCCCGTCGTCCTCAAGGGCTCCACGCCTGGGCTCGGCGGGTACCGTATCCGCATCGAGGACCGTGCGTCTCATCCCTCCTTCCTCCTCTCGCCGTCCCCCTCCCTGACCGATCACTGCCTGCAGACAAGACCAACGAGGCGCTGTATCCTGGTCCACACGTATCCGACTTTGGCGACAAGCTCGAGCGCACGCAGTACATGGCGCTGGGCGTCCCGGCCGGCATGGTCTGGCAGGCCAAGAGTGGGTCGCTCGCCCGCCAACTCTCGCCTCCTCGTCCGTCGAGCCACACCTGACGCTCGAGCCCACAGATGCCATCATGAACATGATCAGCAAGCAGTATCAAGAGCTGCTCAAGCCGTACGGCCAGAACAGCCCGCCCGACCCGGCCATCCTGTTCACGCTCCCGAACGTCGTTCAGCACAACGCCGGCCTGTACGCCGTGCAGCGCGCCTACCAGGGTCGTTGGGGCGTCGATATCTTCTTCGACTCGGACGCGTCGCCGAGCGGCCTCGACTGTGCGTCCTCGCTCCCTCGCCTCACTCCTTCCTCGAGAAAGGGAGCTGACATCCTGTTCTGCAGACGATTCCCTCTCGGTCGCTCTCGGTGCCGCCTCCATCGCGTACCAGGAGCGCTTCGCGGCGCTCTTCCCGGCCATCTCGACCTTGCCCGAGCGTCAGCAGGCGTTCGCGCGCGCCATCACGGCCAACCTCGTCGGCGGCATCGGCTACTTCTACGGCCCGTCGCTCGTCGACCGCACGCACTCGCAAGAGTGGGACGCCGAGGCCGACGCATCGAACCCGCCGGCGCTCAACGCCCAGGCGACCGAGCCGATGGAGCTGTTCACGGCAACGCCGAGCCGGAGCTTCTTCCCTCGCGGGTTCTACTGGGACGAGGGCTTCCACCTCGCGCTCATCGGCGCGTGGGACAACGATCTCGGCCTCGAGATCTTCCGCAGCTGGATGCAGCTGGCGGACGAGGACGGCTGGATCGCGAGGGAGCAGATCCTCGGGGAGGAGGCGAGGAGTCGGGTGCGTCCCTCTTTCGCCCTTTTTTCCTTCCCTTCCTCCTATACTCTCCTCGAGCCTGTCCTGATGGTCGTGTCGCGAGCAGGTGCCCGAGGCGTTCCAGACGCAGTACCCGGCCTACGGCAACCCGCCGACGCTCATCATGGGCCTTACCGGCTTCATCTCTCGCCTTCGCGACTCGGGCGTCTCGCTCTCGGCCTTCGACGACTCGTTACCTTCATCGTCATCGGACCTTTCCGCCGACCCGACTGCGCTCGCATCGCTCCACCTCAAGTCGCCGACGCTCGCCGCCTCTTTCCTTCGAGGCGTCTACCCCAAGCTCAAGAGCCACTACGAGTGGTTCCGCCGCACGCAGCGAGGCGAGATCCGGGCGTACGGTCGTCGCGCGAGGAGCGGTCGGGAGGCGTACCGCTGGCGAGGGCGGACGGCTGACCACGGTGCGTCCCCCTTTTCCCTCCTCATCTTCTCCTCCCCGATCTCTCCCTGATACCCCAACTTGCACGCAGTCCTCACGTCGGGCCTGGACGACTTTCCTCGAGCGGTGCCTCCTCATGCCGGCGAGCTTCACGTCGACCTCGCGAGCTGGATGGCCTTCTTCTCGCGCACGATGCGGGACGTCGCCGATTTCCTCGGCGAAGAGGACGACGTCGACGACTTTGACGAGCAGTTCGAGGCCATCGTCGGCAACATCGACGGTGCGTCGACCGTCCGCCTTTGCCGCCCAACATGCCTCGAGTCCTGACGAGCCGCCCGCACAGACCTTCACTGGAGCGATGAGCAGCAGATGTACTGCGACGCGAGCGTCGACGACGACGGTGCGTCACCTCCTCGTCTACCTCTCTCCCGTCCTGTGCCTGCCACTCACGTCGAGACCGCACAGACGAGTCGTACCACGTCTGCAACGCCGGCTACGTCTCCCTCTTCCCCTTCCTCCTCTCGCTCCTCCCTCCCTCGTCCCCTCATCTCGGTGCGACACTCGAGCTCCTGCGCGACGAGGCGCACCTGTGGTCGCCCTACGGCCTCCTGTCGCTCAGCAAGGCGCATCCGCTGTTCGGCAAGGGCGAAAACTACTGGCGCGGCCCAATCTGGATCCAGATGAACTACCTCGCGCTCGCCGCCCTCAACAACGTGCGTCGAGTCGCTTTCTCTCTCTCTACCTGTGTGGCGGCCCCATCCTCAGAGCACGACCCTGACCTACTCCCGAACCTCCCTCGAGCAGAAGTACGCCAAGGAGCCGGGCCCGTACCAGGTCCGTGCCGCCGAGATCTACGCCGAGCTGCGCAACAACGTCATCAGCAACGTGTTCCAAGTGCGTCCCGCCATCTCCCTCTTGCCATCGTCGTCGTGCGGCAAGTCGACTCTCGCCCCCTTTGCAGGAATGGGAGAGGACGGGCACAGTCTGGGAGCAGTACAACGCGGCGACGGGGCAGGGGCAGCGCAGGTGCGCACGCTCTCTCTCTGCGTCTCCCGTCATCGTCGAGCGCCGCCGACTCACTCATCGTGCCGCAGCGACCCGTTCACCGGCTGGACGAGCCTCGTCACCCTCAGTGCGCCCCCTCTCTCTTCCTCTCCTCGTGCAGCTCAGTCTCTGACTGTGCCTCGTCGTCCCACACAGTCATGGCCGAGCAGTACTACTAGACGAGGGCGCAGAGCCGTCAACGCAGCGCGCGCGGCTTCGCAATGCAAAACATGCCGCCGACCTCGCCCCTTTCTGCGCGAGCAGCTCCCGAGAGGCTCTCGTCGGTCGTGCTCGAGCTTGCTCTTCATGCAGCTGCGCGACGAGTCGGTCGTCGCCAAATCTACGGCCTCGATGAACGCCTCGCCCCCACATCAGCCTCGTCGGCTCCTTGTTTTCAACCCTCTCGACCTCGCCGTCGAGTTCAAGAAGCCCACGAGCAGCTCGGTCGCTCCGCGCTGTCGTATCGCCGGCCTTGACGAGCACCCACCCGCCGAGAAGCACTCGCACGCCGTCACGAGCCTTTCCCCGCTCCCCTCCCGACCACTCGCCACAGCTTCTCGCGCCTCGTTGCTCCTCCTTCTGCGGCAACCGACCCGTCCAGCCACGTTCCAACATTGTCGACCATGCTGCCGCACTCGCGGTACCCCCTTGTCGCCGCCCTGCGCCGCTTCTCCTCGGTGCGCTTCCCCTCCTCTCCCTCCTCCTCGTCTTCAACCTCGGGCGTGATCGCTCACTCACTCTCTTCCCGCGACAGGCTCCTCCTCCCGGCAACGCGGCCTTCTTCCCACCCCTGCCCGAGCAGCACGTCGAGCACGAGCCGTCCGGTCCTTCGCAGCGCACGACGGGAGGCCGCAAGGCTGGAGGAGGATTCGGGACGTGGGCGACGGTGGGCTTTCTCGGGGCGGCAGCGTGGGCACTGTCGAGCAGGGAGCCTGTGCGTCGTCCCTCTCTCGCTCTGTCACGCAGGCGAAGCGCGAGTGCGGGAGGGACGAAGAGTGCTTCTGCGCTCGTTTCGCCGGCCGCAGCACGCTCGCGACGAGCACGCAGACAAGCCGTGCGCCTCACACTGACTCGTCTCTCCACTCTCGCCGTCCCTCGACTTGTCACACATCTGCAGAAATCGATTCCCTCGCTGCTCAAGGAGCAGGTCCACCCCGACTCGACGGCGACGGCGCGCAAAACCCGGCACGACTCGATCCTTCCCTCGTCCTCGCTCGTCGTCGGGCCGCGCAGGAGGGTCTAAGAGGACCGCGAGAGGCTTGGCGAGCCGGCCGGAGGCAATCTCGTGGCCTTTGATGGACGACGAGGTCCGAGAGCGCGCGACGAGCAAGACCGGCGAGGGTTCTGTACATGCGGCTTATCAGGCTGGAACGAGCTGTACATAGTCTCTCTCTGCGTTTTCCGAGAGACGAGAACGCGAGAGCGAGCGAGACGCAAGAGGCGGCTCGAGCGCGAACGACGAGGAAGAGGAAGAGAGCTGCGACAGGCACTTGCAGGCTCGATTCTACAGCTCGACGGGGCCCTCGCGGTCACAGGGAGGAGGGGAGATATACAGGGCATAGTGCGGAGGGGGAATGCAAGACGAAGGAAGCACTGATAGATCGGGAAAGAGGAGGGCGAGCGACGGCGCGCTCAGGCCTTGTAGTTGAGGGCGACGACCATGCAGGTGAGGTTGTCGGTCGTACCGTGGCTGTCGCGACGAGGAGGGTGAACGAGTGAGTGAGGGGCGCAAGGAGGAGGAAGAGGAAGAGAGAGAGAGAGAGAGAGAAAGAGCGGACGCACCTGAGCGCGTACTGGAGGAGCTTCTCGCTCGCCTCCTGCGGGTCAGACAGGCCCTGGATCTGGTCGACGGCCTGCTGGTCCGAGCACACGTCCCAGAGCTGCGAAAGGACACGAGAACGAGTCAACTTGGCTCTGAACAAGCCACCGCTGCCCTCGTCGACCGGCGAGGTCTCGAGGGTGCGGAAAGTGGAGCACGAGAGAGGACGACGCCAACGCACCCCGTCGCATGCGACAATGAGAAAGTCGTCGTCGGGGCGGAGCGTCGTCTCGGTCGTGTAGGGCGAGCCGACGACAAACTGCTTCATCTGCGAGTCGCCGAGCGAGCGCGTGACGGCGAGGTAGCCGTTGACGCGCTGGTTGAGGACGTAGCCGCCGGCGGCCTCGATGCGCTCGATCTCCTTGGCGTCGCTGCCCTTGTGGTCGTACGACAGGCGGATGGCCCGGCCGTTGCGCCTGCGTCACGAGGAGTCGAGGTCCGTCAGGGGGGTCTCGCGGTAGACGCGAGAGACGGCGCCACAGGAACGGCGCATCTAGGGGACAGGAGAGAGGGGGCCTGGGACGCACGAGAGGACGGCGCGAGCGTCGCCGGCGTTGGCCGTGTAGAGCGTGCGCTTGGCGGCCTTGACGACCTCGGCCGGGCTGTGCGAGCTGTGGTGGCTCTGCGCGTCGCCGCCGGTGGTGCTGCCGCCTGGGGACGACGAGTTGAGCGTCGTGCCCGAGGAGGAAGAGTGGAAGACGCTCTTGATCTTACTCCTGAGGCTCGACGACTCGTCCTGGGCCGGGGTGGCGGCCGTCGCGTTCGGGTCTGTGGCGCATGGACAGGTGTGTCAGCTTCCATGACCAGCGGGACTAGGCACCCAACGAGCAATCGGGAGGAACGCTCGAGTGCGCCAGAGTAGGCCCGAGGGAGAGCTGACGCACCTGCTGGGTGCTGGCCCTCGCCCGAACCAGGCTTGCCCTCGGTCGGGTCGATGCCGCTCGCCTGGGCCTCGCGCGCCGCCTCGCCCGCCTTGCCGACGAGGTCGCCCTTTGCGCTGCCGACGTGCGGCGCGACGCCCGACGCCTCGCCGACCGGGTTGCCCTGCTCGTCCTCGAGGCGGACGAGGCACGTGACGGCGGTCGAGCCGCTGTGCGAGCCCTCGGATGCCGACAGGGCCGACAGCTGCGTGTCGACGGCGTGGAAGGTGGCGTTGAGGAGGTGCGGGATGGGCGTCGTCGACTGCTTGCGCATGTTCTCGAGGAGGTACTGCGAGGTGGTCGCCGCTCGGGTCAGTTCTCCTGCCCCTCGTCCATCGCGCTCGCCCTCTCGAGGGAGAAGTGAGGGGACGAACCTCGTGGAAGTGGAGGCCGCAGAACTCTGCCGCCTTCTTGCCGGCGTGGCCGTCGAACACGGCAAAGTAGCCCTGGCCCTTGAGCCCGGCAAAGTCGTACACGAAGCTGTGCGCGCTGTGGGGCGGGTCGCCGAGGGCGAGGTCAGTGTACTGAGCTTCGAGTGAAGGGCGGGACGAGGACGAGAGGACGCACTCTTCCATGGACTTGCGGCAGCGACGGTTGCGGTCGATGCTGACGCCGACGCGGATCTCGCCCGTGTGCTCGAGTGCAGGGTGCTGGTTGAGGGTCTGCAGGGAGGGTGCCAGGGTGAGCCTTGACTGCACTGAGTGCGAGCGAGAGACGGGTGACGTCCGGATGCGGAGGAGGAGAGCGGGACGCACACCAAACGTGTCGGCGCCGCGTGCGGACGACTCCTCGGTGACGCGGGCGTCGCCTTCAAGGTGGCCGGACTGGGCGTGGCTCATGGCTCGAACGAGTGGAGGGGGAGACGAGGAGAGGGGGAGAGAGAGGTGCGACTGATGACGACGGCGACGACTCGAGGGCGGCGACGAGGGGCGACGAGGTGGTGAGGAGGACCAAGGGACAGTCGAGGCGAGCAGGTGTGGCTAACTAGCTGACTGGTGCAGGCGGGCAGAGAGAGGGCTGCGTCGGCTCGCGCTGCACGACCCGCCGCCCCTCGTCACCGAGCAATCTCCTCGCGTGCCGAACCTCGATCGAGCCAGCTGCGCACACTCGATGCAAGCGCAAACGCACGACTGGCACTGCAAGAGGGAGAGCACACTCAAAAGCTACAAAGCGCGCGGCGACGACTCAAACCGCGCCTCGACAAGGCCAGACTCCTGCTGCTGCACCGCCTCGTCCACCTCGTCCCGCTCGCTCACGACGACAGCCGCCGCTTGCCGAGCGACTCCTGGATCGTCGGCAGCGCACCGACACGACGACGGTCGAGACGGTACGGCGAGAGCGCCGAGTCCTGGGGCGCGGTCGACGTCGACGAGGCCGATTCGGCGGCAGGAGCGCCGTCGACGGGCGCCACGTCCGAGAGCGAGGGCGACGACGACGACCACGACGACGACGACGAGTGGACGCCGACAGCGACCTCGACGGCGACTGCTGCCGCGACCGACGAGCCCTGGTGCCCGAGGTCGTCGTTGGCGCTCGCGAACGGCGACAGGACCGAGGCGAGGACCGTGACCTCGGCGTCGACAAAGATGAACCTGTGTCGGTGGCGAGGGCTGGGAGTCAGTACCGTGCCCCCTACAGCCGCACCTTGCTGAGCCACCAGGGAGGTGGCTCGTGCGAGGAGGAGACAGCGAGCGTGCACTGACCCTGGGCCCGCCACGATCGTCTGCTGCGCCTGGATCACGACGTTGGTCGCGAGCGGCGTCGACGTGTTGGTGAGGTAGACGGCGACAGCTGCAGCGAAGGAGGAGTCAGGCTCGTGCTCGGCGGTGCGAGGGCGACGTGGAGGGAGAGAGAGAGAGAAAGGGGGACGCACGACCATCGACGCCCGCCGGGATGTAGCAGTCGGCCGCCGCAAACGTGAGCGCCACAGCTTGGCCGCCGAGGAGGAGCTGGCACGTGAGGCCGGACAGGTCGACCTCGACGTTGACGACCGACAGGGCGAGCTTGGAGCCGGGCACGAAGCGCGCGACGGCCGTCGCCTCGTCGATGACGGTGAGGGCCGCGTTGGCGGTCAGGCCGCTGCGAGGTACACGTCAAGAAGGTGCGTCAGGTCAAGTGCCCGAGAGAGGACGAGAGAGGCGGCACGAGGACGCACAGCTCGCTCGCGTCGCACCCGACGAGGAACCCGCCGGCGATGGCGAGCACGCCCTGCGGCGTCAAGGGCAGGTCGAACGACTGCTGGGGACCGAACGAGCCGCCGTTGAGGACGTTGAGGAGCGACTGGTGCCGGGCCTCGAGCGTGACGATGCTTGACGCCGCGAGAAGGCGCGACGGGTCGGTGAGGAGGTGGGCCTGGGAAGGGAAAGGAGAGCCGCTGTGAGTCACTCGCTCTCGTACGCCAAGGAGAGAAGGAGGAGAGGACGTACCGCACCCAGGTACGCGCTGACACCGACCGCCTCGAGGACGCGCGCCGTCTGGAGGAACGAGACCGGCTGCGGGCAGGCAGACTGTGAGCCTGGGTCTCGCCCGGCAGTGACAGCTCACGACGTGTGGAGAAGGAGGCCGAGGACGAGGACAGAGAAGGCGCGACTCACGTCCGAAAGCGCCTGGTCGAAGTTGAACCCGCAGCTCGAGAACGGCTCGGCGCCGAGGGCGATGATCGTGTCGGCGAGTACAGCGACTGCGTGACGAGATTGAGAGAGACCCGGTCAGGGCGCCTCTGTCGAGAGAAAGCACGAAAGGACAAGGAGGAACGACGGCCGACGCACCATGCCGGTTTTCGTCGACGAGGATCTGCGTCACCTGCTCGATGCTGCGCGTCGCCGGGTCGTCAGACGTCGGTCAGTCGACGGGTGGCTAGAGGACGATGGGAGAGGAAGGCGGCAAAGGGCGAGGGACGCACATGATGGCGGACTGGATCTGCGAGAGGCCGGCGTCGACCATGACCTGGAAGCTGAAGCGCTCGAGCGCCTGCTGGTAGAACGTCGCCTCGAGGTTCTGCGGCGTGCGAGACGAGCAGAGTGAGTTCGACGACCCACTGTGGGAGGGCGAGGCCGAGGCGAGGGAAGGAGACGCACCTCGAGAACGAAGGCGAGCTGGAGAACCGTCACGTCGATCGACGGCGGTGCGGTAGCCGTCGCAGTCGAGCTCGGCGACGTAGTGGCGGCGGCGACCGACTCGATCGAGGACGGCAGGTAGGCGAGCGAGGTGCTGTCGGCGAGGACGGGTGACGAGGTCGCCTCGGCGAGCGGCGCCGATGCGGCGGCGACGTTGCTGCTGAGCGGCGCCTCGGGCGCTGCACTCGGTGCGAGGGCGAGGGTGGCGAGGGTCGGCGAGGGAACGTGGATGCCGGGGTTGCGGCGGAGCTTGGCGAAGCGGGGCTCGTGCGTCGCGGCGGCCAGCGCGGCGAGGCTCGAGAGGGCGACGAGTTTGACAAGGAAGGACAGCATGGCGATGGCGAGTTCTGATGCGGTTGTCGAGAAGTGGCAGGCGGAGGTGAGAGGCGAGGGCGAGGGCGAGGAGGGCTCGAGCGGACCGGCCGTTGGGGCAGGGAGGAGGGAAAAGTGGCGAGGGACCAGAGCAGCCGCCTGCGGGAGGGGACGGCACGAGGATGTCAGTGCAAGGCTCCTGAGCAGTGCCAGAGAGAGTGGACGCACCTGGGCTGACGAGAAGAGAAAGTGGCGAGAGGGAGAAGTGAGGGGAAGGAAGGAAAGAGGCGAACGGCCGCTCGCGAGGCTCAAGAGGGTCGAGCGACCTCGTCTCCTCGCACGGCGCCGACACGATGGGACAGCTGTGACACATCGTCTTGATCATACACGCTCGCCTGCGACGACCCGCGAGCGAGAACGGGAGGGCAAAGAGCGGCCCGAGTTCTCCTCGCTCGAGGAAGAAGAGGAAGGAAAGAAACGGTGTAGGACGAACAACAACAGCATGAACAATGCGTGTCTAGACGAGAAGAGGAGGGATCTATCGACAAAAGGCCGCCACGCTGCCGTCACCGCTGCCAGCACAGCTCGCCGCGGTCGCCGGACCAGACCCAGGTCCCGAGAACGACGACGAGGAGCGCCTGGGCGACGCACCAGCTGACGGCAAAGTACCGGTAGCCGTCACCGGTGCGGAGGCCGCGCAACTCGACGACCATGGTCGAGATGGTGCTCAGGCTGCCGCAGAAGCCGTCCTGGACGCCCTTGAGCGCCGCGCACCCGAGCGCAGAGCGCGAGTGGTGCGCGAGGAGGGCCATGACGGCGAACACGAGGACCGAGGTCGAGTTGACGACGAGGGTGCCGATCGGGAACCGCGCCGAGAGCGGGTTGAGGTGCTTCGAGACGAGGTACCGCAGGATCGAGCCCGGCGGCGCGACGACGATGGCGAACGTGGCGCGCGAGCGCCAGCTCGACGGTCCAAAGATGAGGAGCATGAGGGCGCCGAGCCAGAAGAGGGGGCCGATGACGATGGTCGCGAGGTTGAACAGGCCTTGGCCCGGGCGAGAGCGAGGGTGCCGGGACGGCGACGGGACGACGTGGGCGAGGTGGATGCCGCCTTGGAACGCCGCCTGGGCGCTGAAGAAGGTGACGAGCGTGATGCCCATACCGGTCATGAACTGTGCGCGTGCGACGCGTCAGTCGAGGCGCGCAAACGAGAGTGTGAGGGGACAGAGGGACGCACGCCGGTGAAGCGACTGGTGCCGGCGGGCTTGTCGAGGTTGGCGAACGCGGTAAAGACGTCGCCCATCATGCTCGACCAGGTCGTGAGCGACCCGCAGAAGGCGGTGCCGCACATGACGAACAAAGGCGGGAACCTGCGAGGAAGAAGGGAGTCAGTGGGTGCGCTCGCTCGACACAGGACGGGCGAGAAAGGGACGCACACGCGCTCGATGGCGTTCTTCTTGGTGACGCAGAAGCCCATGACGGCGCACCCGACCATCTGGGCCCACACGAGCGAGAAGACGGCGGTCGACGCAAAGCCGCCGATCCACTGGAGGCCCAGGCGGGCGAGGACGCCCCAGAGGGTGCCGAAGATGACGAGCGAGTAGACGGTGAGCTGGGTGTGGGTCGGGGTGAACATGGAGGGGAACTCGGGCGCGGGCGCGGTTGTCGGTCGTTGCGGGAGCGAGGCCGAGCCGGTCTCGAGGGGTGGTTCCTCTGTCGCGGGGCGAGGCTCGGTCGGGGTGGCGAGGTCGCGCGGGCCCTTTTTGGGGACGTAGCCGTCGTCGTCTGCGCCGTCGTTGCGGGTGGTCGTGTCGAGCTTGAGGCGCGGAGGGCGGGCCTTTTCCTCGTGGTCGACGGAGGCAGAGGGACGACGAGGAGGAGGGGACGAGTCGGGGTGCATGGTGGACGACGAGCTGGCGGGGCTGTCGGTGGGCATGCGGACGGCTGTGCTGGCGGTCGCAGTACTCTGCAGCGAGTGTGTGAGGAGAGAGAGAGCAAGAGAGAAGGCCGACCCGAACCTCCGCTTCGGTCAACCTCTGCCGACGCGACC